CCACACCTGTCTTCCGGCAAGTGGCGCGAATGAGAGAGCGACGCAGCGCGCAGAGGAAGTCGGACGTGCGGCGCTCGACAAGGCGCGTGCGCAGGCGCAGGTGCAGCGCAAGACGAGCCTGAGCGGCGGGCGAGGCAGAGGTCCTCCGTCGCCAGGAGTGGCCATTCGAGGAGACGGTGTCGAGGTTCCGCAGAGTCGGGCCGTTGAGAGCGTGCGCGAGGCGCTGGCGAGCGGAGGCGGTGCTGCCATGAGCTCGGGTCCTGGGGCCAGCATCCTCAGCTCAAGTCCTGGCCGAGCAGGGGAGCGAGACCGCGAGAGAAGAAAGAGCGTCAAGTTTGTGCCGACGGACCGCTAGACACGGTCTTTCTGGGTCGGCGGCAGCGATGGGCATGACGGAGGCGAGCCGCATCGACTCAGGGGGAAGTCGGGGCACCGGGGGGTCATCAGATGCGTTCCTTCATAAAACGGCTTAAGGCGTTTGGTTCTAGAAAGGGCTTTTTCAGACTCCGCATGGGGCTGTATGGGATCTGTACTTTACGGCGTCTACACACTCCAGACAGGGCTTCGCTAATGGCATGGAAGAATACCAAACTTACGGGCCTGAGAACTCTTTACCCGTTTCCCTCTTGAACGGACTCCCCCCCCCCCCCCCGCGCCGGGCCAACACCAGAGCAAGGTCGAGCATCCACAGCACGACTGCTTAAAACAAGTACACATGCCCAACGGTCACTTACCCACGTTCTCCGTGAACCCCTTGGTCCCGGAGGGAAACCTTCATGTGGTCCATCGTCAAAGCCGAGGCCCAATCCTCCGACGCCCTTCTGAGACTCTCAGCTGCCTGTCCATCGGCACTGCTGGGTCTGCTACCGTCACGCTGCCGTCTGCCTCGCCGTCTCCCGGCGTGATGCGACCCTTGAGATGACCGGCCCACAAGCCCCTGACGCCACCCCGTTTGCGCTCGGGCACGTCCTCGGTGCCGGCGCTGCAGACATAGAGAAGATACTTTAGATTCGGAAGGGAATGGCGAATGTCAACGACGCGCAGCGACTGATGGGCGCAGAGGGCCTCGATGTCCTTGTTGAGAAGGAACCAGGCGTAATCAAAACGGAAGTGGGCTGCTGTCGAGCCGCCCCTGGGAAGATAGAGTGGGAATTCACGGGCTGGGTTGTTTCCGAGCGAGGACGAGGCGCTCTGAGTGTGTCTGGATGCCGGGGTGTCCTGAAATGCAGATATTTCGTCCCGGATGGTGGACCGGGAACCAAAGGGGTTGATGTCGTAGGGCAGTGGGTGCCGCAGGTAGTACTGCAAGTTGTGGGTGAGCATGGCCACGTGGCCGAGGGCGGCCGACATGGCATCTTCGTTCGGATTCTTGGACGACGGGCTGTCGTAAGATGTGTTCTGAAGTGGGAGGCCGCAAATCTGAAAGGACAATGGCTCGCCTGAAGGACACGGGGTGATGGGGAAGATGTTGGCCAGGTCGGAGCAGATGCGCCGCCGCTGGCCGCGGATCTGCTCCTGCGTCTGTGCGAGCATTGCTTTGGAACTCTCCAGCGGTTCACGCGCCGCAACAATATCCCGCTCTGCCTTGGCCTGCGCTTCGCGGCCAGCAGCAATGGCCTCGCGCCTCGCTTCTAAGGAAGCTTTGAGTTCATCGCGTCTCTTCTCTGCCGACTTGACACTCTTGGTCTGCTGAGAGACGTATTTCTGAGCGAGCTTCACCTTCTCTTCTGCCAGTGGCGCATCGTTCCTCGGCTGCTTGGAAAGAAGCTCATTGATTTGTGTAGTAATGTGCTCCTGTGTGGAAAGAGCATCCTGGATAGAACTGTCCAGAGTTGCAAGCTTCATGAGTGCATTATAGGAGGATGTCGGCAGCGTTGCTGTGGCCTTCGGCTTTGACTTACGAGCCGGAAGGTCGAGAGAATAGACGCCATCCTCGAGATGAAAAATCAGGCCGTTGAGGGGAAAGCGCTGGTTCAGAAGAGTGCCCAGGAAGTTGAGAGGCCGCAGGTCCACGACGTCCTCTTGATGTAGAAACCATTCCTTTGAACCGACGTATCGCTTTGCCATATTTTGATCGTTACCAGCGGGAACGCGTCACGGAGCTCCCGTGCTTCGAAAGATCAAAGAAGAGAAAGTTAAAGTTCTGTGACAATGACTGTCAGTAGAGAACAGACAAGAAGGAAGGTGCAGAGTCACTGACTGTCTTTCTCTCCAACGTTTCGCTGATGTAGATCGGATCATCTTCACCGTCCACATGCATGGAAAAGAAGGCATCCGCCATCCGACTGTTATAGAGCGCCTCCAGCTTCTTTTGCTCAGAGACGGGGCTATCCTGCGTCAAGGTGGTGCTCCTACGCCGCATCTTAGGCCGCAGGTCTTCTGATGACAATGCATGATGCAGCTTGGGCGTTTCTCTCAGAGTATCGGACTTCTTCGGCGATGCGTGGATGGCGACATCATCGGTAGTGCGGCCGCGTGGCCGCTGAAAGCTGAGGTTTCGTAGGTAGATGCCCTGAAGGTGCCGGAGCTTGCGGTTCTGGGGAAGCAGTCGGGGCGCGCGTGATTCGGTCGGCATGATGCATGTCGCTGCTGAGTGCAGCTTGTCCTAATTTCTTGCCTGCATAGGATCTTTCGTTGGAGTTCGCAACGCGTCACGCTGGTGGAATGGCAATGGTGGTGATAATACGAATGGAGGTGACGTCGGCAGTGTGGTAGGATCACCTTTCGCTGGAGGCCTTGGCCGGGGCCTGGAGCTTCGAGCTTGAGCTCCATTACCCCACGTCGTGTGAAGCAAGATCGCCCACTGTGATATCGGTATGTCGGGGGTTTGCTGGGTCTAGCCAGTTCGATAAAGCGATGGCATTCGTTTAAGCCTCTAAGTTGTTCCCAGCACGAAGGCAGCTTTGATCGAATGGCAATGTGCGCATAATTCACGCGAAAGATAAGTAAACTGAGGGAACTTCAAGCACTGAATATATGGATGTGTGACTGCAGTTTTGGAGGTCTCAGCAATCGATTCGCATGTTTTTGAACACTTCTGGTGGTCCTCTGATACAGACTGCCCTTGTTCTGGAGACCTCAAGCTTACACAATGTGTCTGCGCATGGTTGCTTCAATGATACCGAGTACGGGAACTAAAGACGGGAAGCGTCACGGACAACGGCCAATTGTCGGCTGCATCAGATACGTAGCTGTCATTGCAACCCTCCAGAAGACAGATAACAGACGCAAATACAGATTTCATATTACACCCAACGACACTCCCCACCCAGTCCCTAAGCTTCTCTCGTTGTACCTATCAGTTGACGAAGGAAAAGGCTCAGTGCAACGGGTCGGCCTTGCGAAGACAGTTCAACCAGTTTCGGTTTTCCGAAACCTTCCGAGCGCCATCAGTCTGCTCTTTCTTGGTCCGTTTTGATCCACGTCCCTTGGCAACACGAATCGCCCCTCGCGCAAGTGTAATGCCAGCGCGAGCAGCAGCCGAACCGACTGCAGCGGCGGTTCTAGCAACAGCCGCGAAGATGGGGATCAGGAAGCAAAAGGAACAGCGCTCTTCCAGCTGATGCATGTGCTCCTCGGACCGCACAGCGATGTCCGTAACCGGACTGTAACGGGTGGCCCTGTCCTTAGTGGTCGCGCGAAGGCTGACAGAGCGAGACTCAACACCCTCGCCAACCGTGACCCACTTGTTGATGTAGTCGTCCGACTCGTAGACGGAGTCATCGGCCTCTTGTCCCCAGGGGTCAATGGGGAGATGTTCCGGCCAGAACTGCAACAGATCCATGTCCTCGAGGTACTCCTCGTCAAAGAACTCGTCGGCGAACTCTGCAGCAGCCACGGCGCCCATGCCGAGGGGAACGAGAGCCAGGCAGCGGCCCATGCGACGGACCTTCTTGCGCTTGTCCTCGTCCTGCTTGTCGACATAGGCACGCTTCTTCTCTTCCTTCTTCTTTTCGAAACGACGTCCCTTATCCTTGTACTCGGCCGTCTTGGCCTCCTTCTTCTTATCGAAGGCTTCTTTCTTCTGCCTCTTGCCTTCTTCATTCTTGATGCACTTGTCGTAGCGCGAGTTGGCCGTCCTGCCCTTCGGGCAGCGCTTGCACTTCTTGCAGTCGTCTTTGTCGATGATTTTGCCGTTGGGGCACCGCGTGCGGCAGTTCTTGCAGGATTCTTGACGGGTAAAGAGATGGACTCCAACGACAGGCAGCGAGACCGAACCGAGATCGCGGTTCAGGACCTGGGTGCTGGACTCATGCTGACTGTCGTCGTTCTGGAGGCGACCAGCAAGAATCACATGGGCCGGAAAGTGAGTGGCAGCAACATGATTGACGATGAAGAACACTGCTTTCACAGCTTTGGAGAAATGCATGACGACGAGGAAAGGAAAGAAATTGTATCAGGGTTGGCACACTCAAAATTATGTCTGCTGAGGATTGTGGTAGGCGGCGAGCCTTCGTGGACTACTCTGGGTCTGAGATTCGGCAGATAGGCCGTGAAAGGGTGTAAATGGACTTTTGTAAGAGGTTGACTGATGATGACCAGTGACTCGAAGCACTGTGTCAAGAAGCGCCGCCCTGCAATGCACCAGTCCGCCGGTGGTGGAAGGACTTTTGTGAGACCGCAGCCCGTCAGACTGAATAGATGCAGGGCTTTGATCCTCAGCCTGAACTAAAGATATCTCCAGCATCCCACCTTCTATACGAGACAATGCTGCATAATGAAAATCGATCCCTCATTCGCATAGCCTACAGCTGCTGTGAGACGGGCAGACAGGCTGATGGATGCATGGCCGGGGACATTAGCTCGGCAGTAAGCTTAAATTGTAGGCTGTGACAAGGGTCTGGATCCTTCTTAGACTACGCGCTAATTTCAGGGGATTGAATGGCGATCTCTACATGCAATTCATATCAAAGCGCTTCGCGGCGCCACCTTCATGGTAACGGTAGGGACTTCGTCATTAATTCGATGCGAATCCTTCGAACGGCCGAGAAGGTGCCTAAGATAATCATTCACTGGCGGCCCAGCCTGCGGCCCTACGACGTGACTCGGCGGCTGACTGCGCTGCTTGGCAAGTCGGTCTGGGCGTACAGTACCAAGGCAGGCTGTGAGCTGTACAACAGTGGATCAGCAAGCGCCAGGATCTATTTTCAGTTGGTTCCCGCTAGGTCCCGCCTGTAAACGCGTTCTGGGCTGTAAACGATGCTCTTGGAAGGTTGATCATGGCGGGTGTCGTTGGACATTGGGAAACGGCTGTTTTCCTGAAAACACCGAGATCACAAGAATGACGGATCGGGTGCGAGAACGGCCACGGCTTGTTGTAATTGATGCACTGACTATTGAGCTGTAGTCGTCCGAGAGCAAACGCCAGATCTTCCTCGGCACTGAGCTTGTTGTATCTCTACGTAGGTACTTTACAAATGTCTTGGTTCGAATGTTGTCAGGGAATTTAGGGGTGATCACTTAGATTTGAGCCATTACAATTTAAGCAACATGTCTATCCCACTTTCCTATACCTGCAGATACCAGTCCTTGCTTGCGTTTACCACGTCTGAATAATGAAGAGAGCAAATCCAGAGACCTATCTGGATTCAACGCTCTAAGCACTGTCAATCACTGCCCAGGAGGTATGATAAAGTCTGCGGAATATGTCCACATACCTAATCGAAAAGGTTCCACACTTCGTACGAGCCAAAGTTGGCAGTCAGGCACAAGTCGTCTTCGTCACCGTTGGCGATGATAGTGTCCGGGTTACAGTCGTTAGAGCTGTAGAGAACCACTGTGAAAGGGTCATCGACGGGACCCGTGCTCTCTACAATAACAGCCGAAGCAACGCCTCTGAAGTCCGTTCGGCAGCCGAGGCCAGGCCCTCCAATGATCTCGCCCAGTCGTGCTCCGCGGCACTGAAGACCACCGTAGAAGGTAAATTTGTAGGCGTCTGTGAAACCCACTGTGACGGCAAGGCAGACGAGAAAGCGTGCCATGATTTTGATTGCAAACATGTTTGAGAGTGTGAGCAAGATAAGTTGGAATGAAGAGTGAGCGGATGCTGAGGAAGGAGTGGGAATGTTTGTGTAGGAAATTGATACGGAAAGCCTAGTTGAAACAAGATGCCCAAGACTGGCCGGACGAGACTTGTGTGCCGGCAGTCTATGAGACTTATATCTAATCAAGCGCTAGAATAGACCTTACCAAAGAGACGTGCAGCTCGATCAAAGTCCCGGTTGCTTGGTGCTTCTTCCAAGCCAACAAGGCTGGCCGACAACACCATGGGTCGTCATCGCGGCAAAATGCCCGGTCCGCGACTTTCAGGAGCACACCTATTTTGACACGCTGACTGACAGGGGTTCCCCGTCGTCCAGGGACCACAGGGGCGTACCAAAGTACCATATGCAACCCAAGATCGGGGCGGAGCCTATGCTTAAAGTGTTCTCCCCACCACAGGACGACTGCGCCCCCCTCCATTTGAACGACCAGGAAGCAAAAGTTCCAATCAGCTCTGCAGTCGCCCGACACCCTTCAGCGCTTACAGTGCTTACAATTCGGAAGGGACCCGTCTCCATGCGACGTTGGGATGACGGGCCAGGGCAGCTTGTTTCAAAGAGACGCCGCTGGGCCGGAAGGATTTCGCGCCAAGCTAGCCTTGTGATGTTGGACAAAGCTATCGCACAGGGGGTCGAGTACTGTCAGCAGTGCTCCGGCCTGGGCCCCAGAACGCCATGGCTTCGTCGCTGTGCATTATGCAACTTTACACCCTCCCGAAGCCTGATACCCAAGAATAGGTCTGGGTAACGCTGGCGAGCGAGCGGCAGCATATCCGTCTGCTTTCGAGCTCGACCGGCTGGGAGCAAGTCAAGACAAAATCCTCTTAAGGAGTATGTCCAGGGTAAAGCCAAGACCTGACAGCCGCGTCTACTTCCATCCTCTCTATTTATCTCAACATCTGCACAGAGTTGGTTCGCTTATTTTTTCTGCTTCTTACTTGGCTTTAGACTTGATCTACTGCACTCATCATCATCTAAATCCTCATAGATCCCCCTCCCACGGTTGGCTGTCTTTTCCCGTACGAGCTAGGGCGCGATACATGTGTATTTTTTCTCGACATTTCAAATCTTCCTTCTTACAACCTTACTCTCCTTCTCTTTTCATAGCGTCAAGTTGCGAATAATTCACCATGCATTTCACCAAGTCGATTTGGAGCTTGGGTCTCCTCGGGCTCGTGGCTGCCAACCCGTGGCCGAAAGTCAGTCTCGAAGACAGCCTCATTGCGCGGGGAGATCTCACTCTTCGTCAAGAACCAGAAGACATCTGTTCGATCGATACATGCGGCAGCGAGGCCGAGTGCCTGATAGCACGAGACATTGCCACCCCGCTGATCGGCCGCGACGAGTACAACGCCGCCAACGACACAGCCGAGGAGGAGCTTGCTCTCCTGAAGAGAGACATTGATAGGCCCGGGGCAGGCCAGCTTGACGGCTGGTTCAAGGCCAATTGGGAGAGTGGCAACGTCGTCAACATCCCGTTCAGGCCTGACGACGACGGCGAGTGGTACACGGCTCGCTATCGCGAGTTTCTCAACAAGCCTTTCAAGATGGGCATCAAGGGCATGTGCGGGTGCACCGCTGTCATAGTCACCTCCAAAAAGGGTGCCTATATCGTACGTTGGCTCTGATTTCCTCAGGTTCGAGTGTTTCGCCTTGCTGACGTGGAGTGAATGCAGTCTCACCACTGGGAACGACCTACCGTCATCGCCGCCTTTGAGAAGCATGGCGCGCCGACCCCGGGAGCGGCGGACGGCGAGACGGTGTTCCAGCAGGATGTCATCGAAGAGCTCCACGATGCCCTGACTTGTCTTGCGTTCAACAAGAACGAGGACAAGGATGTCCAGGTGTTCATCTTTACCAAAGTCGACACGTCGTCCAGGACAGTCAAGTATGCTCCGCAGGTAGATCAGATCAAGAATAAGGTTGTGGAACGGATCCCAGGGTTGTCCAAAGGCGATATCAAGGACCTGCCGTACTATACGCGCGAGTCTGTCGCGAACGCGCTGGATACAGCGGATGGCAAGGTCATCATCTCCTATGACCCCAAGGCGGGCGGCGGTAAGGCTGGGTACCAGGTATGGGCCGGTTCAGTTTACAATGCTGGAGGCAAGATTGACCCTGCCACCATCAACGCCCCCAACGGCGAGGCAACGTGGGAGCCGACAGAGGGGCAGAGGTAGTCGGGCTTTTGGTTTGCGGTCGATTTGAATGTTGTAATGGACGATATCAAATGTTAAAACTGCTCAGAACATATGTGAATGACTTTTTGGAAATGAAACCAGCTTCAGTGTAGCAATCCTCGAGTGTCGTGCTTCTGGGGTCTTTCAGTGTATTACTGATAGCCTGTTGTAGTCAATGTGTATCATGGTCGTGAGCATGCGTCCTACCTGTTTCTCCATAGCATCATATGCCAGCGCGCCTCCATGTGCTAAGTTTGTCTCCATTGGGGGGCTCGAGGGAGCCGGACACGTGTAACCGCCCTGACGATCGGGGCGGAGCATCCTCCACGGCCACTGGCCCCATCCTGCTGGCAGTTGCGCTTACAGTGGGTGGCAGCCTGGGACGTCACTTAAGATAAGAGGCCGGCAGCACCCTCTTCCCTGGAGCTTCTTCACATCCCAAGGTTACCCTGGAATTGGCTGAACGGCATCAAAAGTGTCACTCCAAGCTTGCACCCATCGCGATAAAGATACCCGAGGCTTCATTAGACTTGCGGCATATCGAAAGAACATGGAGCCCCAAACCGAGGCGTCATCGCCTATCGCTCACCTGGGCCAATCCCCCCTCACGGAGATCGGCCAATGCCTCGATCCCATCGAAACTCGACTCCAGTGGGCCAAGCAGGCCGTCGACGCAGGCCACGACGTCAACGAGCTCGACCTGAACACGGATTGGCGCCGAAACAAGGGTCGTCCATTGCACTCTGCCCTGGAACACCCGGGACGGATGGACGAGATGACGGCGCACGACCGCGGCCGCAACGAGAGTCTGGACCTGGTCAAGTTTCTTTTGGAACGCGGAGCTGATCCTCGGCTGCGAGACTGCAGGGGCAAGGAAACAGCCATGGACAGGGCCCGCTGCGTGCTAGGCAGTCCCGTGGGCGACGTGGAGAGGTCCTTTGTTGAGGAGGCCGTGCGCCTGATGGAAGAAGCGGCGCAAAAGATGGAGCGTGAGTAAGCCTCTTCTCTTTTAGCACCACCAGACTTAACGTTGTTCCAGAGAAGGAGACGACGAGCAAGGGGTTTCTTGGCGATCTTAAAGGGTTGTTGGGTCTCGGAGGACAAAAGAGGGAGACCGAATGTCTCTTTTGCCGAGAAGAAAAGTCACACAATTGGCACTACAACGTCTACGTCGGGACCACGAGGGAACATCGGATGCTCGAGGAAACAGACAACATTAGGAAACCCCAGCCGGAGTAAGTATGAACACGCAAGGTATCGTTAGAAACAGAAAGTCGTTACGATTCGCTGTGTATGGTGTAGTTGTGGCCTTGGTTGAAATGGGTTTGACACAATCTTGAGCTGGAGCTGTTGCGAGAGCTTCCATGGTGCTGCAAGGGTGCATCGTGAGGCAGGACTCGGCATTGAAAACTTGTACAGGCCACTGCTCTAGGCGCTCAATGAATCTCTGCTAATGGGCAATCATACCGCTCATTACAAATCCAAATTTAAGCTTAACTCCATCAAGACGATCGAAAACAAGGGCCATGATACATGGCAATTCGCTCATTTTGTCCCAAAATTTACTATCAGCCCCAAGAATAAGATTGTTAAACCTGCCCAAGTCATTGCTTTTATCAACGTATAAAGATTGGCCTGTCCGTCCCCTGTCCTGTAGAACCATAGAACCGGCCAATGTATGGACGTCGTTGGTCGACAGCATCTCGAATCTGCAGGAATCAGTTCACATGCGACCTGTATGCGCATGCAGCTTGGAGGTTTATTCGTTTGCTGGGTGCCGAATGCGCGCAAGTACGGCCGTTGGTCCCGACCATGCCATGTGAGAGGGGTAGCCCGTATTCGCGAGATAGGTACATAAGATGACCTGTATCCCGTACGCATGTATGTCTGGTCAAGCTCTCTCGCTCGTTTTCCTTTGGGTGGCTGTTCCCCAATACACATCACACTAGAATCTCGTCCTGGCCAATTCGCCATGACGATGACAGTGGCATCCATGTGGCTTTTCGGCGGTGTTCTGCTGAGCCAATTGCTCAGCTTGGCGGCGGGCCGTCGATCTCCCGACTCTACAATACCGATTACTCTTGCAACGGCAACAGGCTCATCTGCTCCAACATTCCCCAACAGACATGCTGCGTCCCCCGCGTGGAGTACTACTATTCCGCGAGCTGCTTGAACTGTGACAGTGGGATGACGCACTACGGGTAAGGTTGCCGCTTGCTAGGCTCACGCGACGACTCTTTCACTCGTACGATGGCGCTGACAGCGAGTGCGAATCTAGGTGGCAGCGAGACGGTGGCATAGCCTGCAGCAGGGTCGTGCTGAGCCGCCGTGGCGGCAGCAACAACTGCATCGCGCAGTCGGGCGTGACCATCTTTGCATTGTACGGCCAGACGTGGCAGTACAACAGCAGGAAGCGCGACGGCAAGGGGGAGCGGTTCCCGTCTTGCAAGGCATCTGTGGAGCCCGACCTCGTGGAGATTGATGGCCAGTTCTTCAGCCTGAACGAGACCGTGTCAGACGCGCAGAAGGATGACTTGTACGCTCTCTTTCTGAACGGGACTGCCCTGGCAGATGTGCCAACGGAGTTACAGGCCTTTGAGACGAATTATTATGCGGGAGAAGCTTGAGCGTATGCCGAGGAGGTAACAGGGTGGAGAGTAGAAGGAAAGACGGTCCCAACAGAAGCTCGCTCGATCTATATCACCCTACGTGTCGCCACTCTATCGTGCTTCCACTACTTCGTATCATCATCGGGTACGTTGATGTTGCAACAGAGCCGCATAATTTATCCATTCAGAGTTAAGATCATCGGGACGGACCGAGCAACCTTGGTTTAGGTTTCAGTAGTGGCTGTACGCGCCGACACGCGACTCGGTCTAAAGTCGATATTGGTGCCAGGCTTCTCACCCAAGAGGGCATTCTACCTTTGGAATATCTCGATAAAAGATAGCTCTTCACACCATCGGGGCTGCGCATTGGCCTGAAAGCAGTGACAGTCGTTCGTGATCACTGCCCTATATAATGGCGGTACAAAAAGGCTTCACTTGCATCGCGTGAAGAAGTGCCATGAGCCGGTCATGTTCAGAATGAACCGAACTTCGTGAATTTGGCCGAGCAGATGTTGTGAGCCCCAGGGCTTCCTGCTTGTCATCAGTAGTAATATGGTGATGCCAAGGCCTTTCATGTCACTTCTCGCGCTCCTCTTCTGGCAAAGGCCTGGTCGATGCCTGCCCCGCGCCCTGCCAAGAAGCCAAGAAGCAACCATGTGCAATCATCCGAGGA